GTCAATTTCGTCCACTATTCCATTAAAAGTTAATTCGAGAAATGTTTTGTTTGAAGATAGATGACCCGTGCACATACTTTACATCTCGGTCATTGAGCTTTTATTCCTTTTTGACTTTCTGTCCTCACGTCCAAATCCTGTCCACCTCGCTGACCAATATTGCCCCTCCTCCGTCTCCTTCGGCGACCTATCGATCCAGCTGTCTTTCTGGATTCCAGTTAGAACAAACCCTTCCTCACGTTCTTTCTGTCTTTCACTTTCTCTTTCTTTCTTTTTTTTCTTTCGTTCTTTCTTTCTTTCTTTCTTTCTTTCTTTACTCTTCCTTTTTTTTTTTTACTTTCTTCTCCTTTTCTTTCTTCCTTTATTTATTTTTTTCTGTCTTTCTTCCGACAACAACCTATCACCATCTTGGCATCTCTATGTCTATACTCCGGGATTTAGACGGACAGATGGATGGATGGATGGATGGATGGATGGATGGATGGATGGATGGATGGATGGATGGATGGATGGATGGATTGATGGATGGATGGATGGATGAATGGATGGATGGAAGAGTGAAAGGTTGGGTCGATGGTAGTATGGATGGTTGGATGAGTTGATGGACAGATGTATGTGTGGACGGATTGTTGCGTGGGTGGATGGATAGACAGGTGAATGGATTAATGGTTGTCTGCAGATCAATATACAGATGGGCGGTTGGCTGAATGAATGGATGAATTGATTGTTGGATGATTGGATCGGTGGAGGGATACATGGGTGGCTGAATGGGTGAGTGGATGGGTAAATGGGTGTGAACTGCAGGATGGGTGCGTGAAAGGTGTATGGATGGATACGTGAGTGAAAGGATGGAAGGATGAGGGAATTCTCAAAAGCCTTGCTGCAACGTGAAATAGCGTTACGCCACTGTGGTTGGCCAAGACAGAGTGATTTCCAGTTAACTATTTGGGGTCGTATGTCTTCAGCGAACACAAAGTATTGCAATCAGATAAAACCTATACTTTAGTTTGCATGCGTTTTGTACACGATTGACGTTACACCTCAATCTGACAATTTGCAATATGACACCACTAAACACACCCCTATAAAAAGCATAAGTTTCCATGACACTGACAGTCTTGTGGAGTTCCTGTGGAGTCCACTTGTCTGTTGTCAACTGAAAGAAGCCAACACAACCACAACTTCTATTATCATCATCAGTTTTGTAAGTACATTCAGAAGAAAAAAGAAACATTAAAAAAACAACAAACCAAAACACAATGAAAGTATACTAAACAGGATATGTCTGACTGACATCAACGCTAGTGCACACACATAAAGAAACGACAAAACACACAGATGCAAACACAAAAACACTACCCCTATACAAGCAAAATGTGTACCTCTATTTGTTCCCTCCTACCAACTCGTCTTGGCCCAGTAGTTTAAGTACAAATACTGACAAAGTCATCATTATAGTATGAGACTTCGTGCAAACTTTCGGAACCTTCGGTGACACTGTAAAGATGATTCCACTAGGGAGCAGGACAGAGGGTGCCCACCTCGTGACTCGAAAGAGCTGATGAATGTGGGACTAAACAATTAACTACTAACCAGTTGCGGTAGCCATCTCCAGTTTGGGGTATGGCAACACGTAGAAGTGAAACTTACCAAAAACGTCATAAGAGAGAAGAAATATAATAGTGTATTCACTTATTTATTAATGTATTTATCTTTATGTAAAACATTTTCCGGTGTGTTTACTCTAAAACTAACAGCTAATTTCAAAACCCAAAATGTAGCACCCTTTGTTGTTATTACTAGACACAAAAGCGCCATATGATAGAATTGGGCAAGGTAAAAAGAACAACACCAAAAGAGAAAACCCAAAATAACCCCAAACCAAAACACAAGCAAAAAGGAACAGAAAAACAGCAACACAAACAAATAGAAACAACAACTGAATACCCTACAAGGTAGGATAGTTACTGCTGTAATTGAAGAAAACCTGGCATATCCCCTAACCCTTCCTAATATTCCATCATTTTTTACGTGAGAGGGGGGGGGGGGGGGGCGTATTGGACCTTCTCACATGATGATAACCCGTAATCCATTCCCCTCCTAACCCCCCCCCCTTCCACACACACACACGAAACCACCCCCACCTACACCCCCCACCCCGTCCAATTATTTTTGTCAACCCCCCAAGTGAACAGTCGAGGCGCGGAACGAGGAGGCTGGCTCTGGCAAAGACCTCGTTCCTGCGCTCCACTCACACTGGCCGAGTCGGACCTGGGGGGAGCGAAAATCCGATAGTGTCAGATCAGTGCTGTGATTAGACTTCAATTCATTGACTGGCTTGCCTTGTTCGGCCCAGTCGGTTCTGTTTTCAGGGCCCTCTCACCCTGTGCTCTTGTGCATTTCGATCCGAGTTTCTTAGAATTCTGAATAGGGTTTCGGTTGTTTTTCCTTGAAAGGATAAAGAACATTCATGTTTATGATGATTCTCAGGAGTACTTGAGTAAGTGGTTCAGTTATTCATTCATTCAAGAAGAATTTCTGAAGTAACTGTTCATATATGTTTTCGAGTACTTTTCTTCTTGAGAGAAGTCTTTCATCTATTTATCTCTCTATCTCTCTGTCTATCTCTCTATCTAAGCAATCTATGTATGTATGTTTGTCTGTCTGTCTATCAATCTATCTTTATATCCGTCGTTTGATATACTTATGCTTTTTTCTGTCCTTCTGCTTATCTTTTTAATCTATATATAAACAAAAAACTGTTACTGGCTGTCTTTCGAACTATCCTTGTATGTTTCCCAGTCTCTTGCAATATAATTTTCTCTCTCTGCAATGCGAAAGATTGACATTTGAGTTCTGTTCGTTGTGGGAAAATGTCACTGCTGTCTGAAATTTAAGATCTTTTCGCTGCGTAGACCCAATGCTTTTTCATTTTTTTAATTCAAAAAGAATTTGGTTGTGCTTTGAAATGTTTGCGCTCGGCTCTTATCGATTATTTCTAAAAACTGTGAAGAGGATCCGACTATTTATATTGGTAAGGCTTTACTGTTCGCATTTCTAGGAAACGTTAAACTTTAATAAACCCATAGTGTGCCATTTCAAAGAGAAAACATTTTCTCCCGGACTAGGGGAAATGTCAGGATATAAAGAAAACTAATAAGCAAAAAATAAAAAATAATAATAATAATAAAATAAAATAACAAAAATTTTCTCTAAGCTCAATTTTAGTCTCTTCATTCCAAATGTCAAGATAGTGCGAAATGTCACAAAATGTGTGATTGAGCTTGTGTTAGGGTAGTTTGGAAATAAGCTGCTTTAACCCCCACCTGTCCAGATAAACTCGTAATGTTTGGGATAAAGTATCTCAGCCGAGTATGAGAATCGAACTCATGTTTTCTGTGTGCCTTAGAAAAGAGCCGAATCGTTACATCAAAGAGAACACGTTGGTAGGTTAGGGAGAGTATGCTTCGTCCCTAATCTGAATGTACGTTTTAGATTTATTTTTTTAAGTCAACAAAGAATGAGACTAATCTAATCAGTTTTGGATTTGATTCTAAAAAATTTGTTATAGTTGCCTATTTTGACACTAACAGGGTTTCAATGCAGGGCTCTACAAATGTTTTGCTTGATCAAATTTATATTTTTAAAAATAAATGTAAATGCCGTATTATTCTCTCTCTCTCTCTGTCTCTGTCTCTGTCTGTCTCTGTCTCTGTCTCTGTCTGTCTCTCTCTCTCTCTCTCTCTCTCTCTCTCTCTCTCTCTCTCTCTCTCTCTTATGAAGATGTTAAAAAATCGAGTATTTGTCTATAGGCTACGAAGTACAACTATTATAGAAAAGACAACGGACCCAACTGTTTTACTCTTATATTTCGCTGCCTTTTGCTGACTTCTACACTCTGCTTTTAGTTGTGCTACGGGTCTCACCAACAGTTGGGCTCGTGCGTCGCTCTCATATTGTTGTATCAAGAGCAGTGTTTGTCAACCCTTCGCTTGCTTGCGACCACTTTTGCTACTAATTTTAGTCTAAGCCTTTCGTACAGCCCACTGACACATCTTCAAGCCTGGCAATTCATTGCACACCTGTCGATACACGGATGATCACCACCGCCCACAAAAATTATCAAATCGCCCGCTTATGGACGAAATTGCCCGGGTTGGCAATAACAGATCTAGAGTTATGATAGAGAAATAATGATAGAAGGATAGATTGTTACAGATGTTAAAAGAAAGGTAGAGACAGATAAATATATAGAGAGATAAAGAGATAGAGGTAGCTTGACAGACAGATAGACAGATAGAGAGAGAAAGTAAGAGATAGACAGAACGACAGAAAGACAAAGAGAGAAAGACTGGCAGACAAAATGACGGACAGACATAGATAAAAAGAGAGAGTGAGAGAGAGAGAGAAAGATAGAGACAGACAGACAGACAGACAGAGAGAGGGAGAGAGAGAGAGAGAGAGAGAGAGAGAGAGAGAGAGAGAGAGAGAGAGAGAGAGAGAGAGAGAGAGAGAGAGAGAGAGATTGGAAAGAGGGCAGAAAGATGAATAATATGTGAGAGAGGAAGAGAGATGGAGGGAAAAAGAGAAAGAAAGAAAGAGAGAAAAAAGGGACAGAAAGACAAATGAGATGTGTTCATATTTACTGTTGCATGCATTTACAGGTATACTATTTATTAGTATCACAGAAGCTTGTGACAGTTCACTATCAATCTCTTTCAATACGAATATCTATAAGTTTATCTTACCCTTTTGTATTATTTTATAAGTTGGGTACATTATCCTCTATGGAGCTTTAATTTCCAAAACTTTATTTTCTTCTAAATCCTAAAATAGTAAAACATTCTGATCTATACTTACTTTTACTTTACTTTTACTTTTTCATCCTCTGTTGCAGTTAAGCATCGAGGGGAGATGCAGTTTTCTATGGTAGGCCAGCTCCGCAGCTCTTTCAGTAGTGATGTTATGTTTTCTTAGGGTTTCCTTGACACCCTCGATCCAACTTTTGCGTGGCCTTCCTCTTCCTTTATAGCCTGAGTGCTTGGTGTTGTAGGCTCTCAAGGCTGGCTGGTCAGGTGACATACGTAACAGGCGGCCAAACCATTTTATACCATATTTGAAGCTGTTTTAGCATTGCACTTCCGGTAAAATATATCCTTTTATTTTACACGTTAAATATAGGCTGGCTAAGCTGATATCTCACACGTGACATATAAGAACTTGCATAAATTACTCCGCGCACTAGATCTAGGCCTATATTCGCCTTATACTTCTATCCCTCTGTGTAGGCTAAGCAAAGTAGGAACAGCCTAGATAATAGATTTAGAAAAACTTCGCTGCAAAGCGCGCTCACCATGGGCAACCAAACACTATAGTCTCCCAGTCTCGCTGTCCCTTATGGTCGAGTATAGGACGTTTGGAAATTTCTTTTTCCGTCCAGACATTTGTAGCAGCTCACCAGATAAACACAATGGGTGGACAGTAAATCTAAATAAATTTTAATTAGACAGCTATCAATCATCAAAATGATAGATCTACTACACAACTAAATAAATAGCACCACTTAGATCTTGATCTAGACTCAGGTCAAGGCCTATATCAGCTTGGATAAATGAAATGATGATGAAAGACTAACGAAGTTTTGAAATTTTGTAATTACTTTATCAAACACTTTAAAAACCCACTGTTTAGATCAGTTGCATTGCCTTTCAAATTTTCGTTTACGGTAATTCTATCACTACATGATCAACTATATATATGAAAGAAGATTAAACTTTAAAATAACATGTACTTGATAAATATGATATTCGTCAATATACAAGTATAACACTCTTGGATAATTACTTTTTCTTTAAATAATAAAAATTACTTCCCTTGTTATTCTGATATTCTTACTTCCTTAAGAAATCCAGAATATCGGAAATCGATAGACAAAAACTAGATGTCTAACTACATATTTAGGATTTCCACATCAGTATCCAAGTAACTTGACAAATTTAGTTGTTAAAAAGCCTTTTTTCATCTTTGACCAATTTAATGCTATGAACAATGCGTTAGATTCTAGATCTAGAAAATCTAGACTCTAGAGAATAACTCATTGCCTTTGGTTTGTTTTGGTTACGAAGTTTGAAATCAAAATCAAAGTCATCTCTATTCTAACAACAACATGCCATATTAATGCAGTTTCTTTCAACTTTTGAGTCGTACGTTTTCTGATTACTTTGCTTATATTTACGTTATGATAGTTTTGTTTGGGGCTTGTTTCGCGGAGGGAGACATACGGATAGCACAACTTGTAAATTAGCGTGGCTACAAGTAAAGGAAAACACTCCAGATTTTTCCCAATTCTCAATCTGACTTCGACTGGCATGAAAATGTTGTTTTCATGTGAGACTCTAGAATGGATCCTCTTGTCCAAATGACGGGTCATTTGAACTTTGTTGGAACGGATGTATTTTGCCAGCTGATATCAGTATGGTATAAAAAAAATTATAACACTCGTTGTGGTGTTAGACAATGATTTATCCTACTTGTGAAATTGCCAGTTGTAATCACTCGTTGAAACTCGTGATTACAACTTGGCAATTTCACTCGTAGGATAAATCATGATCTTACACCACAACTCATGTAATAAATTATTTTTATCCTCTGTCTTTCTATGTAACGCAGGCAAGACTCAGTGCCGAGAGCTGCTCTTACTTCTTCATTTCTCTGCCTGTCTCGTCTTGTGATGTTAAGGGTTTTGCGGAGACATTTCCAGGTCTGGCCCTGATAACATAATGTTGGTATGCACATTGAAGTGACAAGCTGTCTCTTTGTGTCCATGGAGATGTTTGGATGAGATAGAAGGGGTGCGAGCTGGTACGTGACAGCGTTGGCTTTTTGAGTTCGCATTTCTATTTCTCTGTCTATGGACCCATTTTCAGAAAAGGTGCTGCCAAGGTATTTAAACTCTTTCACCTGTTTCAGGTGTTTATTATTGACATGAATGTTCAGGGGACTATGGTTTCGGCTCACTTTCATAACTTCTGTTTTTGATGTGCTTATTTTCATGCTGAATTTCTCACAGGTGTTGTTGAGTTCGGTAGTGTGATTTTGGAGGCTTTGTTGGTCATGATGAATTAGACATTGGTCGTCTGCGAACAGAAATTTATTTATGCTTTCTGGGCTTTGGTTTGCTTCTTGCGTTATTGATCTATAACTCATTTAATATTCGCCCCCCCCCCCATCTTTCTCTCTATGTATCTGTCTATCTATCTATCTATCTATCTATCTATCTATCTATCTATCTATCTATCTATCTATCTATCTATCTATCTATCTATCTGTCTATCTATCTATCTATCTATATATATATCTATCTATCTATCTATCTATCTATCTATCTATCTTTCTATCTATCTATCTATCTATCTATCTATCTATCTATCTATCTATCTATCTATCTATCTATCTATCTATCTGTCTATCTATCTATCTATCTATCTATCTATCTCCCTC